AGGGTTCCCACCCTGCGCTCCCATCCTGATGCACTGTGACACTGCAGTCCCAGAGAGGTGCCATTAATGTCTCTAAAACTGTGAACCAAAATGAAACTTTTCTCTTTTATAAGTTGATCCTGTTGTTGAAACAGGGTCTCAAAATATAGTTCAGGCTGCAGGAGAGTAGGGATGGCCAAAGGGGCTGGACAACAGGGCATGACTGTCAAGCATGGAAAACTGGTCAATCATGGCCAGGTCATGTGTAGAACAGCGTCCTTCAGCCTGGATCTGAAGTCAGAAGAGGATGCTGAAGGACAAAAAAAGGCTACACAAGCTCTTCAGCCCTGGGATAGGCTGCCCCAGTTGGGTTCTGTGGGGCTGCAGACACACGAGCACACCCGGCTTCACACACCATCAGGCCTCTGTCCTCTTGCTCTTATTGTGACCCACTCTGCATGCAGGGCCTGCTTGCTCTCTCCAGTTCTTAGTTTCTTCTTCCCCATCCCTTCCTCTTTCCCTTCCTCTCCTCCTCCTCCTTCCCCTTCTCCTTCTTGCTCTTCGGAGATGAGGTCTTGCCACATAGCCCACGCTGGCCTTGGACTTGCAAGCAATCATCCTGTCTCAGCCTCCAGAGTGCTGGGATCACAGGCATGCACCAGCACGCATGCGCGCACACACACACACACACACACACACACACACAATGTACAGTTCCGTACTTCTTTTTTAAAATTTTATTTATTTATTTGTGTGTGTGTGTGTGTGTGTGTGTGTGTGTGTGTGTGTGTGTGTGGCCAGCTCAGCCCACCAGGGGGCGGGGCTGGCTGGCATGTGGTGCTGGGGGATTGAACTGCGGTCCCTGTGCTTTGCTGAGCTTGTTCTAAGTAGGTGCTTTAGACCACTGAGCCATCTCTCCAGCCCCAGTTCCGTACTTCTTTAATCTTCAATAAACATTAGACTTTTACATTTACCAGTTGTCCTGCCCACTTCTATGAAGGGGATAACAAGAGCCGGATCATGAGCTGGGAGCTGGGATCACACCTGGCTTTATGTTAATTCCTTTGGGTATTTGCTATAACGGTGCAAAGCTGTTTCAAGAGGTCTCACATCCCTTTCTCCTCCCCTGCCTCTGCCTCAGGCCCCACGGCCCTACAGACTCTGACCCCTTATCTCTTCTGCACCCCATATCCCTCACCTTTTTTCTTGGTGGTTTTGTTTTTGTTCTTTTTGGTTTTTTTGAGACAGGGTCTCCCCCTGTAGTTCAAGCTGACCTCGAACTCATAGCAATTCTCCTGTCTCAGCCTCCCTAAATGCTGGGATTACAGACATGTGCCACCACACCTGGCTTCTCACTCCCTCTCTTGCCACGCTCTAGGCACACGGCCTTTCATGTGTCCGTCTGACCCTGTAAGCACCTTGCACCAGCTGCAGGAAATACTCTTCCCCACCTTCAGGGCCTGACCTTCCCCATCATCCAGGTTTCAAACTAAAAGTCACCAACTGACTCGGGCTGCCCTGACTACTGGGATCCCGCTGGAGCGTTCCCAGGGAAGTGACACCCCCCCTGAGTTTGCCTCAGGTAACTGGGGGGGGGCAAGCCCAAGGTGTGGGCTTAGTGTGAGTGTGGCAGGGCTGTGGCTGGGCCCAGGGATAGGACAAGGACGTGGCTCACCTGGAGGCAGGGAGCTAGCGCTGAAGGAGAAGACACAAATGAGTCTCTCTGGATCATGCAGGGCTGAGAGGGCGGACAGAAACAAGGCCAACCCACGAGGGGTTCGTAAGTCACAGGAAGGAATCGAACTCCATCCTAAGGCTACCTGAGAAATCAGAGTCTAATGATGGTCGTGGAATAGATCTTCATCTAAACAGCAACAGGGCACATCATAGGATGCAGCGCTCCACCCTGAACTTGAGCCCTGCCCCCTTGCAGAGGACCCCACACTGTGCTTCTGGCTCTCGCTCTTAACAGAATCCCAAGTTCATACAGGGTGCAAGGGCATTAGTAGAAATCTTGTCCTTGACCCCTGGTGATGTCTAGATCCTCTGAGTGTTATGTCATGTGGAAAGGGTCTTCGCAGAAGTAATTAGGTTGAGAACCTGGAGATGAGACACATGGAGTTACCTGGATGGACCTACGTTCAAGGATAAGCCCTATGGTTTGGCTTTTTTTCTTTCTTTTTAAAATCTTTTTGAGATGGGTTTTCACTATGTAGCCCAGGCTGGCCTCACACTCCCAGTATTCCTCCTGCCTCAGTCTCCTGAGGGCTGGAACCACGGGTATGCACCACCACACCCAGCAAGTTTGGCTCTCCAAAGATCCATGTATTGAAAGCTTTGTCCCAAGCCTGTGGTGCTACTGGGAGGTGGTGGAACCCTTAGGAGGTGGGACCTAGGGGAGGAAGTGAGGTCATCAGGGGCCTGAGTTCAAAGGGACAGTGAGGTCTGGCTCCTCTTTGCTTCCTGACTACCATAAGGTGAGCGGTTTTCTTTGCTACAAGCTCCTGCTGGCATGTACTCGCTATTATTGTCAGACGGAAGGAAAACTAGAGACCAGGGACTAAACCCTACCAACTCTTCCTAAAGCAAACCCAAATAAACTTTTCTTCCTTTTAAGTTCATTATCTCAGGTACTTTGTTATAGTAGGAGAAAGCTGACCAGTAATTGTCCTCCTCAGAGACAGAACACACAGAAAAGAAGGAGGCTGTGTGACCACAGAGGTAGAAATTAGAGGGAGGAGGTAGAAACTGCCACAGGCCTGGAAGCCAATGATCCTCAGGAATGATAAGTTGAAGAAGCAATGAACAATTCTCCCCAAGAGCCTCTGGAAAGACTGTGGCCCTGCTGACCCTTAATTTCAGGTATCTGCTTCTCGGCAGTGCAAGTCAATACATTTCTCCGGGTAAGCCACCCAGTTTGAGGTGATTTGTTACCACAGTCCTGGGAAACTAACACAACCCAGTTCTCTAAGCAGCTCCAGGCTCAGTTGGGCCGCTTCGCCATCCACTGAACCCTTCTTACCTGTGTGGAAGGTTGATCGTAAAGGGGGCAAAGAGCCAGGTGAGGCCACTGTGGCTTTTTGCTTTGTAGCCTTTGGCTGCAAAAGGCCACCTTTGCTCTAACCAGAAGTGCACGTCACCAGAGTAAGCTTCTCTGCAGGTCTCTGGCTGAAGCCTGGAGGCTCAGAGGCCACGCTGGCCGGCCTCTGCAGGGAGAGCAGTGGTCTGCTCTGTGGTGGGAGACACAGGGGTGCTTGTTGTCTAACCAGGATTCCTAGGTTCAGGTTCTCCAGAGAGCTCGTTGTGCTCTGGAACATTCTGCCTGGCCTTACAGCAGCCTCACTTGCTGTAAGGCTCCAAGAAGGGGGTTCCTAAAGCACCTACTGTGTGCTGGCCTTGCCCTGTGCGGCACCCAGCTAAGCACTGCCCTGGACATGGAAAGTGGCTGCACCTCTGGACGATGAGAAAAGCCCATTCCCGACAGCATCAGGAATCAAGCCTCACTGGGGGGCCCAGGTCTGTGCCGTTGCCTCCTGGGACTCCTCACCTCTTCCCGCAGCATGTGAGGCCCCTCTGCTGGAGGTTCTCCCCGGGAGGACCAGTGACCAGGACAGGACGCCACTCCGTGCATTTCCCTCCCTGGCTCTCTGCCTGGTCACTGTCAGTGCTGCGGTAGCCAGCCTGCTCCTCGGCTCACGGGAGGTGTCCCAGAAGAAGCCCCGGAGCTGAGCAGTCCTCAAGCCTGTCATTTTGTGGAAGGTGCCTGGCAGCTGGTTCTCATCCTGTGGTGAGGATGCTTCATCTGGGTATTTAGAACCTTCTGAGAGCCCCTAGAGCCAGTAGACCAGGCCTTACTCTCCCAGAAGGAAATAAGATCAAGGAGAAAAGGCCCAGGGCAAAAATAAGGCTGTATGTGGGAGGGAGAGAGGATACCAGGGCTAAACCCAGAATTGCCAAAGGCCAAAATCTCACAGCCCTCCCCCACGAGGAAGGACCTGTGCCAGCTGTCTTCACCTTTCCTAAACGGTGTTAGCACCTCCTTCCCACAATGCAATGCCTGCTTCCCTGCCCTCCCACATCCACTGTTTTAACTTACCTGTGCAAGTAGCATTCAGCTGAGCTGGACTCTGAAGGCACCCAGAATCTTTTCAAGTATCAAAGAACAGTAGCCAGGCTTGGTGGCAAGTGGCTATAATTCCAGCTACTCAGGAGGCTGAGGCAAGAGGATCAGGAATTCCAGGCCTGCCTGGATTACAGAGAGAAACCCTAACTAAAGCAAGGGCGCAAAGAACAAAGGTGCTGAAAGCTCTTCTCGGGCGGAGGCACGAGTGATTCCCAGAGGGGGAGGCAGGAACCTCTTTGGAGCCCCACAGTTCAAGCTCAGTCTGGACAACATAGTGAGATCTTGTCTCAGAAAAAAAAAAAAAAAGTGATTTGCGAAATGTGGCAAATCCAGGGTTGCAGACACAGGGACACCATGGTGCTGGTCTGAAACAGTGTCCAGCACACTCAGAACGCTCAGCAGCACTGGCCATGGTCACAATTACCTGAGGTCTCAACACTAGGAATAGTTTGTGTACCTCTGCAGCTAAAATGTGACCCAGCTCCCCCTCTTATAACCTGCCCACTGCTTGGTTGCCCCGGGGTGCAGTGTGGCCGGACACTCTTCTGAGACAGCCATCTGAGAAGAAAAACAAAGTGACAGTCGTCTCTCTGCTGTCATTGAACATTGGGCTTTTGCAAAGCCTGTGTAGATTCAGAAGATACAGGCCTTTGTTACCTCTCCTGGGAGTTTCGGTCAATGTCGCGTCTTTAGAAGATCCGTTGAGCCTGAGTGAGGATGGCACGGAAGAAAGGGAGGTACCCCTTGTGCTAACTAGTTAGAAAGTCCTCGGTGCCCCAGTTGGGGCTCTGCCTTTTGCCTCGTTTCTGAAGCCCCCAAAAGCAGACTCTATTATGTTGGCTTTCTTTCTACAAAATCTTAACTCTACCTTATAGACTTGTTCATACTGACATATAAATGACTGTTGTGGCTTTATTTTAACTCATTTTTAAAAGAGGAAAGCTTTCAAAGAAATGAACACCTGAAGCACAGTGCCATGTTCTGAAGCTTAGCTGTGGCAAGAAGGTTCAGGGTGAGCTGCACAGACGGCAATTTCTAAGCCCTCCACTTTTTCCACAAAGTAGGAAAGTAGGCAAGGGCATGGTGGGAAAGCGGGGGCAGGAGAGCTGGACAGTGAAGAGGTACATAAGCCAGGGGAGGTTCCTCTCTCACCAGAGACTCTGCAGGGACAGCTGAGGGGCAGGGAGGAGCACAGAGCTGTTTCTTCACACCAGCACTTGCAACATCACACGAAGGGGCCCTGGCCTTATCAGGCCTCCTGCAGACTTCCCCAGCCTGGGAGGTGTCCCACATCATGACCAGTGTGTACACAAGGGGCTCATCTCATGGGCAGGTGGGTCCAACCTGCGTGCCGTCTGGGGTTCCGTGTTCATCTTGGGGAGGGGGATAAGAGGGCTGGGCCAGATTATGCTCCCCAATGGCAAGGCCAGAGTAGGGAAGAGTGAAAAGGACTGTCAGGAGTGTCCAATGCCCGCCCCTCGCAGCAGCTCTCCGGGTTCAGGATGGTGTGACGCCGGGGTACGACAGACCTGGTCTCAGTGAACCCCTGGGAAAAGGATTCCCCACTCCTTGAGATGGGTCAGAGCCAGTCCTGGAACACAAATACTATTATATTTTATGTGCACACACATGAAAAGAGACAGAAACCAATGGAGACACAGCAGGCAATGCACACACAAACCAGTCCTGTGTCTTTCTTAAGAGCCGCCAGGTTGGAAGACAGTCCCACCTATTTCAAGGCTGAGGCCTGCAGCCTGGCCAGGCCTGGGCAACTTCAGGGTGGACGGCTTTCTCCCTGCCTTCTTCACAGCTTAAGGGCTGACATCACATCTACCTGCCTGCCCTGGTGAGTGTCTGCACAGCCCAGAGCTTCAGAAATCCAGGTCCTCACGTTATCCCAGTACTCATCAGTGGCCTCCCCGGGAGACCCTTGCAGAGCAAGGAGTAGGACAGAAGGGCATTGTGGGCACTCTCCAGGTATTATTATTGCTAAGAACAAGCAAGAGCCATTGTGACTCACTGGCACTGAAGAGGGGACAGGGCACAGGAAGCCTAGCAGACGTCCAAAGCAGCTGAACCATGCAGGGCAGCACACCTGTACTCTGCAGCTCCGAGGGCTGCTGTGGCCAGCACAGTGGCGCAGGGTGCCAGGGCTCAGCAGCAGCCAGCACACTCTCTGCCAGCAGCCCCACAGCCTGGCAAAGCTGGGGCTACTCCAGACCCAAGCTCTGGGCATGGAGGGATCGGGCTCTGTAGATATCACAAGAAACCCAAGAGTTTGAAGTCTGGGCTGCTTCTCGTGAGATCCGCCCCTACAGACCCTGTGGCCAGGCCACGGGCTGCAGCCTCCCTGAGCAGGGGGCTCTGTGCCCTATGGTGGGCCACAGGGGCAACAGGGTGCCCAGATGAAGCAGGACCACAGTGCGGAACGTTGCCAAGCATGCGCGTTCACTCTGGGAACCCCTGTACTTGGGACTAAAGGGGCCCAGAGACGACATGGTGCCCAAGAATGGCCACAAAGGCAGCATCATAGTGGTACAACCCAGCAAGCCATCGAAGGCCACACTGGGGCTGTGGGTTAAAGAGGTCTTTTTCTGGGCGACCTCAGCAAGCTGGCGATGGGGTTCTGTGGTAAAAGGGGGATTTGAAGTGGGGTGACTTGGAGGGATGTCTGGGCACAGGAGACTGGCAGCATGAAGCTTGGGGGAACAGGACCAAGGAACAGATTGCCCAGTAGGAGGAGGGAATCCTCCCACCTACAGTTGGAAAGCAATCTGCCTGATGCCCCATGCTTCTCCAAGCCCTATGACTGAAGCCTCAACCTAAGGGGGGCGGAGCAAGCCACTCGAGAAGCCTGCTCAGGAAACTGGCTGGGAAGACGCCAAGCCTCCCTCTCTGACACAGTGACCAGCAGGAAAACGCCATTAGACACTGGGTGTCCGAGCCTTTCTCCTGTCGCAGGCCATACCTGCTACCCATCCTGGCTGGTGCAGCCTGTGCACTCCAGGTGCAGCAGCCAGCAAGGAAGAGATCACTCCACAGGTGGTACTATCGCTTTTTAATGATCTATAAGAAAGGGAGGGCTAATTTCTACCTCAGTCCTAGTCAGGTCAAAGCAAGACCATGTCCCATGGGGTGGTCCACGTTCTGATGGGTCCCTCCGTGCGAGGGTGGGGGTAGAGCAGGAAGGGCTGGAGGGAGGATGTTCTCTGTCATCCACTGCCAGCAATGGATCTGTCATGGGGGAAGGACCGGCCACTGAGATGATGATGACCATGAGTGTAGCAGCGGTAAAACCGCTGAGAAGCAAGCTCAAAGGTCAGCTTTGCCCGGATGGGCAGGGGAGGGGCAGCCCTGAGGTTTAACTGCAGAGCTGGCCCGTGGCAGAGCCGGCATGGATCCTTTTGCCTATAAGGAAGGCTCCAAAGGGCCTCCCACGGTCGTCTTTCTTTCCCATCCTCCATGGATCTCCAACACTGGATGCCTGCTCCTCCACCCCGTAGAGAGCTACTTTGCCCCATGGGCTTGAAATTAAACCTGGATGGGTGAACAGGATCTCGAGCTCTGCCTCTTCCCCTACACTACTGATTTGCCCCTTGGGCCAGCTATGCTCTGGGGCTACTCTGCTCTGAGCCGGGTCCTTGCAGGGAGGGGACACCACCAAGCTGCCCACCAGATCAGAGCCGGGCAGGCAGAACTCAGGACCTCACAGTCATCAGGCCAGCGAGGGGCGCAGAGGCCGAAAGGAGGCAGGCAGGGTCTGTCTCAGGGTTTGCCCCTGGCTGCAGTCGCCTTGCCTAGGGAGCTGGGATGGGGCGGTGTGGTGACTGACGGATGAAAGGGCTGCTAGTGGTAAAGGCCTTGAAAAACAAGAGAAAGGGAGAAACACCACCGAACACACGGGGACTGAAACCTCCAAAAGCCCAAGGTTGGTGGGAATTCCAGCACCACGGGGGCCCCCAGAAGGCCAAGGGAGCAGCGTGGGGCCCTGGGGGAGGGGAGAGGAGCCACGGGAAGGTTCCCAGCGCCTGCAGACCAGCACTGCTGCCAAGCAGCTCGGTGGCTGCAGGGTCTCTCTTAGGCTGCAGCTCAGCAGGCCCCCGGGGAGGTATTGGTTGCAAGCAAGCACCTGAATATTGCCTAACGGAACCAGCCAAAGCCCAGCTAAGTCCAGGTGAGAGGGAGGGAGGGGCTGCAGCAGCAGCCCAAAGCCTTGGCAGACCTGGCCTCTCACCTTCAGCCCCATTTGCAACTTCCCCTAGTCAGGACAGGCCCTGTGGCCTCCTAAGTCATCATGCAGCCCGGTCACTGCCAGCCCCTGGGCGGTGGAGATCCAGGGACCCTTCCCAGGGTCCTCTGCGGCCTCGACACCAGCGCCCCCCACGAAAGGGATGGGGCCACATGCGCCCCACTGGGGCAGGGCTTGTGCTAAATAGAGGGGGCGACGCTGCCGGCTCGGTCTCTTGGTCCGTGGGCTCCATAAGAGCCGCCTAGCCCTCCCTGCCCAGCCCCCACTCAGTCAGTCTTGACATGTCCATTGGCCAGGGCCACGGGGCCGCCGGGCTCCGCGTCCTTGTCGAAGCGGAGGCGCAGGGTGTTGCGGATGATGAACTGCTCCACTATGAGGGCCCCACAAAACCAGGGCACGGCGTACTCCAGGGTGATGAGGCCCATGAAATCGAAGTCGAACTGCGAGTAATCCCAGGGGCACGCATTGAACTGGCGCAGGATGAAGCCGGTGGTGAATTCCCACAGGTAGGTCCAGAGTGTGTAGATGAGGCAGCGCAGCAGCAGTGGGCAGCGGCCCCGCAGGCGCAGGTACATGCGCTCCACGATCAGGATGGACGTGCCGTAGATGAAGAGCGCCCACACGCTCGTGACGCCCGGAAACTTCCAGTTAAAGTTCACCACAAACTCCCAGGCCGCTGTGAACATCACCTCGCAGAAGTAGCCGTGGATGGCGTACAAGTACCAGCGGGACAGCGCTGTCAGGGGCTCGGCAGAAGCCATGGTGCTGGCTGGGGCTTGCTGCTGGGGACACAAAGGAGGAGCAGGTGAGGAACGAGGGAGCCCCAACCGGAGGGGGTCACAACCTCCTCCGCCTTGCTTCCTGGGATGTCTGCTACATCCTATAGCTCTTGTCTTTCTTTGGGGAAAGGGGGGGGGGGGAAGCAGGAATTGAACGCAGGACCTCACACTTGCTAGGCAGGCACTTTGCCAGTCATTGTGCTAAACCTGTGCCTCCTAATAGCTCTCTTTGATCATCTGTGGTCAACTGAAGGGACAGTTGTGCTAGGTCACCAACCTAGAGGCTTGGTGTGATGATGTATACCTAACAAGTATCACT